AACCGCCCTTATAACCAAAATTTGAATAGAAAGATATGAAGATGTTGTCAGCCTTGCTTACATTTCTAACTATGGTCGTAAAGATGTCGGTGCTTCTGCTTGTTGTTTGAGTTTGAACTGAAACACTGTTGAAGGTTAAAGATTGCTTTTCCAAAATTTCAGTATACTCTGCGAAAAGCCCATCATCAAGTCGGTGAATATCACAGGTGATAATTGGTTGCTCTATATTCCACAAGAACGAAGTATTCGCTACAGTAAAATCACCACTTAAATTAACAAGGGGTTCATTAGCATCACTGACCAAAGTTAGTTCAATGACAATCGGACAGTATGATAAAGGAATGAAGTTTGATACATTGAAGAAGGGACAAGAAGGTCGGTAATAAACGGTCTTTTTGTTTTTAAATCCTCCGAAATTGTCAGGTTTGGCTTGGTCAATGACATTCTGGACTGTGTTTGAACCTGGGTTCGTTGCCAACTGTGTATATGTCAAAAATCTATTTCCTTCATTGTAAAAGTTCTCACCAAAACCAAGATTGTCAGTATAGTTTCTTGAAACGTCATCTTGTAAAATATCCATCATTGCTTCGTATCTATTTAAGTCAGGAATTTCAGCAATAACATTTGAACCTGCCATCACTCGCATTCGTTGAAAAAATGAGGATGGTTTATAGGCAGGTCTCAACTCTTTTGTTCCGTCATGGTCGGCATTGATGAAGGTAAAACCTATCAAAAGACTTCGCAGATTTATCCATTCGTTTGCTCCACCAGTTAGATTAAAACGGATGACACTGTTTGAGTTGGATGAGTAAGTAGAGACCGAAGAAGGGTAGAATGTTTTAATACGTTTGTCTCTAATATAGGACGCTCCACCTTTTAGTCTATACCGAAGGACATTTTCATTGAGAACATCTGTAATTTCTAATGCTTCCATACTTGTATATATTCTATATAGATTTTTTTTGATGATTAGGTTATATTAAATTAAGTTATATCAAAGTTATATTTTTTAAATGTATTTTTGGTTTTCTTCCCTTTGTTTTGGGTTTTGTTTTCTATAGGTTTATTTTCGTTGTTCTTTATATCTTTTCCGCTCTCTATGACCTTCTTGATTTCATTGTATGTTAGGTGCTTTTTCTCTTTGGTATTCTCGTTCTTCAACTTCTTCATTTCCTGCCTGTTGTTCTTCAAATATTCCCTTACGATGTCTTCCATATAATATGGCTTATATAAAATAAAATCACATTATCTTATTGATTGGTTCTGCCACATTCTTTTCTGACTTTCCCATATCTCCAAAATGGACGGCGTGAAAGCCGTGATTGTATAAAGGGTTATAACTGTTTTTATTGACTGTTATATCCACGCCTCTGTCAAACATACTGACTGGGTCGCCTACTGCCCTGAACCTTGTGTTCTTACTGTCAGTGTTGTCATTATAACTTACAGTTGGCGTTCCGTAGGTTCTGGTGGTAAATCTTTTGTTGTAGTCTTGGTTCAGTTTCATCGTTGTCGCTGAACCCAAGGAATGACTGACGATAGTATCAACATTGTCAATGTTGTTTCTGATGAAGTCGTTTGCGGTCTTATACCGCTTTGACCTATGAACCATATGAAAAGGAATGAGTGTGTCATCCAAAATGTCTCTTGGAAAATCTTTCGTCCCCGCTAAGTAAAGGGTTTTATTCTCTGGGTGGTGGTAAAGTCCTAAATCTGTTCTGTTGTTGTATGCCCTCTTCAATCCCGTCTCGTCGTTGATGTTGCTGAATTCCTCCAAGTATTTGTTTCCCTGTTGTATCTCCTTATTGAATTTCTCCAACAAATCCTTCTGTTTGTTGTAGTGTTTCTTGTTGTATTCTTTACCGTCAGTCTCTTTAAAGGGATTTATTCTTTGTAGTCGTCCCTGTGTTTTCATATCATCCATTAACTTTTTTTGAAGCATATATAATTATGTATAGATTAAAAAATATTTTCTAAAGTTATTATATCATAAATAATGAGTAGATTTAAAAAGATATACATAGACAGCCATCACCGAACCCAGAACTCCAACAGTAGTAGTGATTTTGAAATTTACCTACCCGAAAGTCAAGAATGCGGAAACGACACCAAACTATACATCCACGAAATCACCATACCTAATTCTATTTATCCAGTTCAAGCGGGGTTAAACAGCAACTTATACTTAAGACTGACGGACTTTTCAAACACCGCGGATGTTATAATTGAACTGTTGAGTGCTTCCTATGTCGGTGCTACATTAGCATCAAATCTACAAACAAAGATGAACGAAGCAACAAATGGGTGTCAAGCCAACAACGACTATTTTAGTGTGTCTTACGACTATGACACCAACAAAATAACTGTCGCTTTGAATTATGTAGATTTTTTGTTTAAGATAATGACCGACTATGAGACGGAATATAATACCATCCAATGGACGGGAGCATCTTATGACAGAAATAACCTAAAATCCATCAATCAGGTTTTAGGAAATTACACCTCGTCGTTGAACTATCCAGATTGGAAAAGCGGATATTTGACATTATTAGCGTTGAGAAATCTATACCTTACTTGTAGTGAATTGAGCGATGCTAAACAATTAGGTTCTACGGGTGCTTACAACATCATTAAGAAAATCCCCATTAACGCCCCTTTCGGTTCAGTCATCTATCACAACGAAATAATAAGCGTAGATTACATCAATGTTTCAAACAGAGTGTTGAGAACATTACACTTCAAATTAGTCAATAGTTATGGTAATGTGGTTGATTTGAACAATGTGAATTGTTCATTCTCCCTGACCTTCATTGAGGATGATTGAGTTGAAGATTTCTTCTATTAAAGGACTGGGTATTCTATATAATTCATCTTGACGATGGATTACAGGATTATCACCTCATTCGCTCTTTTTACCCGACGGCATCCGTTGGGCTGTTTCTTTATGTTTATTGTTGATGATGTGTCCACAGTCTTTTTTACATAGTGGTCTCGGTTTCCAAGTTTTTAGGTTCGTCCATATCCTCGTTCTTTTTCTGTATGGAAAGCCGTATTTACAATAATCAAGGTCAAAGTAATCAAAGTCTTTCATAAACTCCTGATGTTTCAATAAGCCAGTCTGTGGATTTTCTATGAACCATACCGAAGGGTTGAAGTAGTTGATTATTTCAATGGTTTTCTTTACGATGCTGTTGGCATAATCTATTTTTCTAACACCCGTGGTTTTGGCAATGCTATATTCAACACAAGGGGGAGAAGCCCAAATGATTTTGAAATTGTTTCTGTTGAATTGTTTATAATCCCAATTGAGTATGTCAGTGTTGATGTTGGCATCCTTCAAGTCTAACGAGACAACATCAAAACCTAATTCTTTGGCGACTTTGCCTACACTTCCCGTTCCAGAAAACAGTTCAAGTAATTTCATATTATAAATCTATAGATTTAAAATATGAAACTACGACAGCAACACATAGGAGTTGTTGGTTGGGTCTTTATTGATTTTGTAGTATGTTAAAGTCTCTTCTTTGGGTTGAGTGATTTTACCCGTTGTAATCCACTCAAAGTAGTGTTTCCTTTTATCTTCCCACGAACCGACGGGTCTGCCTATCTGCTTCTTTTCAAAGGCTTTGTTTATTCTATCCTTATCGTTCTCCTTGTTCTCTTCCTTCTTGCCATTCAGTTTCTCCTCTATGTTCTTAACAATACCGAGGACGGCATTAAGGTTCTTATTCATTTTGCTCACCTTGTTCTTCAGTTCTTCCAGTTCTGATTGCTTTACGGGGTCGTCGCTCTCAACATCCACCATACTATTATATATTTATATATATATATAATTATTTATTTAGATATATATTTATTTAGATATTTATTTATCAATTTGCTTTCACGCAAAATCTACTCATCTCTTTACACCATTTTGGGAGATTTTTTTTAATCCATATCATTCATTGACTTTCTACCGCTACTTCTTGGAGTGCTCATTACATCGCTTATCATTTTGTTAGTGCTCTCTACTTTCTTATCTTCGGGTGTGATTTGTCTGTTCCAACTGAACGAGATACTGTGGTCTTCCCCGTGACACGAAAGAACCCAACGACATAAAAACAATTTCAACAAACCTGACCCAAAACAAATAGAACAACAAAAGAAAACGGATGAAGAACTGAAACGAATGAAACAGCAAGAAACCATAGACTACCTTAACGCAACATTCCCCTCATATCCAGATGTTTAAAGCACAACAACCTCAACAAATCCTACCTTTATTCAAACAGAAAGTCCCAGAAAAGTTAGGGACAAAAAATCCCCAGAACATACAACACAAAAAACATCAAAGATAAGGAACAAACACTGAACATAAACCTAAAATCATAACAAGCAAAACACCCTCAACAAAACCTACCCTCATTGAAACCAAACATTATTACAACAACCACAACAAAACATTTAGCAAGATATTCAAAAAGAAACAGTCAAACATTTCAGATTACAAGATTGAACAAAAACATGACAGCCTCCCACCTAACCTCCAACCTGTCCTGTCCAGAACGGGATGACTCAGATGGTTTACCCAACAAAAAAATCATGGAAGGCGGAACACTGAGCTTTTAATCCTTTGGTAAACATACAAAAAACTATTGAAAATGGCCATTTCTAGTGGATTTACCCATTCAAAATGGTGATTTTCCATAGTTACGTTAGTTTACCAGAGGGTAACCCTGTGGTTTATCGTGTGAAAACCCCATTTTCAGAGAAACTGGATACCATTCCCATGGTGGGACCACGTGCCGTGCTTGGGATCATAAAACCATCTCAGTAAGCGACGATTTGAAAGTGGGCCCACTATATTTTACTATATTTATGTATATTTTAACATCATCCCAAATCATTCCCAAAGCAAGAAACAGAAATACCCAATTTGATAAACCCCAAATGGGTGATGACTTCTTGGCTCCTCGCTGGTCGGTTCCAGGTCCCAAAACCATCCAACACTCGCGCGCCCGCAGAGCCGGCTCCGTCTCCCGCTCGTCTCCATACCTTACGAGCACCTGGCAGAAACCATGGGACATAGGTTCTTTCTCGCTATGTTTGAGATGGATTGCTTCCAAAAAAGTGAATACACGCAACCATCGGCTTATACCATGCGCCCCTATACCTTCAGATCCAGTCAACGGCCCCAAGAGGGGTCATCCCATATCATCCCTGGGGTTTTTCGGGCTGGTAGCCAATGCCGATGGCTTCTACCATATGAGAGTCTTATTATATATATATATATATACAGTGTATGTATGTATATATATATATATATATACAGTGTGTGTATATATATATATATACACAGTATATATCTATATATATATATACACCCAGTGAAAGACAACCAGTTGGAGGCAGTGAAAACACAGCCAGTGAAAGAGCAATTGGTGGAAGCCCGAACAACGGAAGGCCGAGAGTGTTGAATGCGCCACATCCAAGTGATCTGCAACGAGAGACTTGAAACCCCCAGTTGTTTGCTTAGCATTTTGTTGGTTGAATCTCCATTTAGCAGGGAGTCTGGAATGTTCCCCATTATTTGCTGATCGACTCTGCTTGGTAATTACAGTAAATTAAGGAGCCTTTCCAAAATTTATATTTTTATGGAAAGGATGTATGTATGTATATATATATATAAGCAATTACCACTATGTATAGAATATATACCGATCTACCATGATCTACCACTATTTATTACAGCCGCTGTGGAAAATCCAGAAAAAAGGCGCGATCGTTGGGGCTCCCAGCGCGACTGGAGCTGCTGGGTGCTACCTGACAGGATGGATGGATTATAAACCAACAAACATAGCCGGGAACCTCTTTGTTAGCGGGTGCCCAAGTAGAGATTTCCATCACTTTTTATTGCCTATTTGAGACACCGGGTTTTGAGCTGGTCACCCTGCATCTTCTTTAATATACCGTAATAAATCGTGTCATCTAGATATTACAAAGTTCGCTTCGTAGCTAATAACCCGCCTGTATCCCCATGGAAGACTAGCAACTACCCAACCAAACTACCAACTCAGTGTTGCAGAGTCGTTCCGCTGGAAACACATCCCAAGTAAACCAGCCAGAGTTTACCAACTATAGAGCCATGTTTCAACCGTAAGTTGGCCATCTTTCAGGCCGCCACAACGCCGCCATACCGCCTGACTGGCAACATACGCCGCAGGTGCTGGATCCTGCAGAAGATGTCGGTGATCGTTTCCGAAACGCTGAGAAATTTCCCCAAGAACTTTCACTGGCAAATCCTACCTGGCCTTTTGAAGGGATATAATATAGTAATACATGTCTATATATATGAGCAATCTCGAAAACCCTAGGTTCACGGAAAGGACATCCACAAATTTGGGAAGGTCCCATCGCTTACCATACGTTTGTACAATAATGATATATGGTAAACTTGGGGGGTATCGCTTGCAGGAAACTGCTACATTTATGTATATATATATATAATTCACAGAAATCAACGTCCAATTTGGGTATCGCTAATGTGGATATTAGAGAAATACAATGACATAACCTTATAAAGGGGTATCACTGATTTGGGAAGGTCCCATCGCTTACCGTGTGTTTTTAACAATTTCCATCAATTTCCATAAACCAATGTCCGTCCAATACATATTTAGTATTGCCGGTTTTTTGCGGTGGCTCATATATATATATATATATATATCAATATACATATTAATATATTAATATACATATCAATATACCTATTAATATATATATATTAGAACTGTATTAACTATAGTTTTTATCTATAGTTTATAAACCAACCTCTACTTCTACTGTAACTGGGGGGGCACCAACTTGTAGGCATGTCAGCTTGTTTCTTTACTTGCTAAGTAGATTCCCCTTTGCATTCGGAGCCCATTGCCGTTGCTTCATCAGTTCTACTATCCAAACATAGGATGTTTGTAAATGCCCCTGAAATCAAGCCTGGGCGGTTGGCAAAAATCCCCAAGGATCCAAACAAAATGATCCCCACCGCAATCGAAACAGTTTGACAAAAAGGTTGACACGTATACCATTTGTTCTGGTATATCTGTTCGGACATTGAACCTGACATGTCTTCTGACATATACTCTGACAACTGACATATCTTCTGACATATAGCCTCAAAATTATCTTGCTGTATCTTCTAACATGGTTCTTGCAAATCTTCTGACAGATCTTCCAGCATCTATTCGGGCAAGCATTCTGGAATCTACTCTGGCGAATCTCATGGGATATCTGTTCTGATAAACATTGTGACATTTGCTCTGGCAAATTTCATGTGACAAATATTCTGACATCATCTCCGACATTTAATCTAACTTGCATTCTAACAAGTTCTGACATATTTTGTGACATTTGCCCTGATATAAACATATCTCTGGTTGGTGGTTTTAACCATCTTGAAAAATATTAGTCAATGGGAAGGATTATCCCATGTAATATGGAAAAATAAAAGCCATGTTCCAAACCACCAATCAGATATATATATATATATTCTGACACATGGTATGGCTTGCTTTGTGACGAGAGGCTGAGTAATCACCTCTTGGGAGGGCCTTTTGGGAAACCCCTGCTGCTATATCTGGATACAGTAATGGGTATAGATGCTACATGAATCTTGAAAGAATGTGTATAGGAAAAAAAAGAATGTCGAAAAGCGTTTCCAGAATGGTAGTTTGGTGATGTGTTCCCTGTAATTTCCCATGCTTTCCAGCTTTTTGGCATCTTTTTGGGTCTCTCTCTAGATAGTTAGATAGATAGACAAACAGACAGACAGACAGATAGACAGACAAATAGATAGATAGATAGGATAGGATAGATAGGATAGATAATATAGATAAGATATATAAGATTTTGAAAAAGATAGATAAGATAGATAAGATCAAAAAGACTAGATAAGATAGATATGACATGATAGATAAGATAGATAGGATAGGATAGGACAGGACAGGATAGGTACGATAGGATAAGATAGGATAGGATAAGATAGGATAAGGTAGGATAAGATAGGATAAGATAGGATAAGATAGGATAAGATAGGATAAGATAGGATAAGATAGGATAAGATAGGATAAGATAGGATAAGATAGGATAAGATAGGATAGATAGGATAGATAGGATAGACGGGATAGATAGGACAAATAGGACAGATAGGAGAGATAGAATAGATAGAATAGATACAATAGATACAATAGATAGGATAAATAGGATAGAGCGAATGAGATAGAATAGAATAGAATTAGAATAGAATTAGAAGTAGAATAGAATAGAATAAACAGATAGATAGACCAGATAGACAGATAGCTAGCTAGATACATAGACATAGGTAGATAGGTAGATAGGTATATAGATAGGTAGATAAATAGGTAGATAGGTAGATAGATAGATAGATATATAGATAGATAAATAGATAAAATGATAGATAGATAAAATGATAGATAGGTAGGTAGGTAGATAGGTAGATAGATAGATATCACACAAATGGATGCCTCTGTCATGCCATTCGATACTGCTTGTTTACCAACGAGATTCTCGGTTCATGGAATATGCTCATCCTCAATATATAATCCAATATAATAGTATAACTAGGGAAGCGGAATCCCCGAACCCATCATCAACCATCCATTACGAACTATATTTCCATATTAATGGTTCAAGCCCCTGTAAATTCCTATCAAAACTCATTAAATGTTACTATTAATGACTATTAACTACTATAAATTATCAATAAATCACTATGAATGACCATATATTTTCCTACTTACTTTGGTAAGAATGAGGTGATTTGTGATAAATTCATAGGAATTCATAGGAATTCATAGTGATTCATCATGAATTACACAAGGACCAGTTCCTCGTGGCTTCGCCATGGTTTTCGCCTCGGTGGAGTCCACATAGACGCTGCGTTCCGGGTTCACCCAGAGGCTCGTCTCTTCAAAGGAATAGACCTGGCCAAGCAGCCAGGCGACCCGGAAAAAAAAGAATGCATGTAGAGGTATAGATACTAGATATAGGATATTAGATATAGGATATTAGATATAGGATATAGGAATGTATAGGATATAGGATATAGATATAGGATATATGGTCCCGTCCTCCGTCTCTCCACCCCCCCCCCCCCCCCCCATGGGTTGGGTCCCCAGGTACCACCCCCCCTTTCCTTCTATTTGCAAGCTATTGGCAGCATTTCTGAGGTCCAGCTTCGTATTTGCTAGGTCTTTGCAGCATTTCTGACTACCAGCCTCGCATTTACTAGGTACATGCTACCTTTTAGGTGACCTACGTAGCACATATACTCCCTCAAAGTACCTACGTGACACCTACGTACTACCTATAGTGATATATATACATGTGCTATGTATCTACTTCCTATTTACTACCTGTGTACTCTGACAACATTACATGTGTTTAACATATACCGTACCTACCATACATTCCAATGATGCCATGCATACCATACCTATCATACCTATCATACATACCACATATACCATACATATGCAACATAATTGCCACACCTACCATACATACAATAGCAAACATACATGCCATACATACCATACCTACCATACATCCATACTTTCCAAACATGCCATACCAGACCGACCATACACACCATACATACCCAACATACCATACCACACCCCCACCACACCACAGGGGGGGAGGGGGACAGTACCACACCCCCACCACACCACAGGGGGGGAGGGGGAAGATCTCAATATGGGGACCCATCCCATGCGGGGGGGGGGAGGGGGGAGGTGGCAGGGCCTGGTGCATATATATATATATATATAGATATTGATGTAAGTATTCAAATTGGTACCCCCTCCAATTTTGCTGAAAGAGAAATGTGAGGATTGTTTCCCCCAATTCCTGGACTGGATTATGTGTGGAACTCTTGGGTTGTCTGATGCTCAATGATGTGGCTAATAAAACAATGCCATAAACTACCCATGACTGGGAATGGTAACCATACCACCTATAAAAATTGTGATGACTGGATGGTTTATGACATTGTCTTACCCACATTAATGGTTTTTAATAGTTATATATCGTGATTAATGGTGACTTACTATAATAGTATATGTTACTCTACGTTGTTACTACATGAGGGTTTCCATTGTCATGGAGGTATCCCAATAGCTGGATGGTTTATTTCATGGAAAATCCCAGACCAAAATGTATGATTTGGAGGTACCCCCATTTCAGGAAATCTCCACATGTATCTATATGTTACCTATCCTTTAGTGGGATGCATGTTTGCATCCATCTAAACACAAAACTTGGCTGTTGCCGCCACTGAGGTTGGTTGCCCCCAAGTAGCAACAACGCAGCATACGTCTGCGCGACGTCTGGGCTTGTGTCGTCCAATCCCACAAGACATTATACAACCATCGTGAATGTCTGGTTACTAGCTCCATCTCAAATATACGTCCACGTGCCTGGTTGCTAGCCCCATCTTAACATAACTTAAGGATGTTTCCATATGAATACCTTGATCGTCTTCGATCCCCCAACTTTCGTTCATCAATGAAAAACATCCTTGGCAAATGCTTCCGCAGTAGTCCATGCCGTGGCGCGCCGGCAGTCGTGTGAGTGGAGGGAGCCGGGTGTTGCCCAAGACCTGCCAATTTACACATCGTTGAACCATGAATTTATGGCATTCTTCTGGCATTACCCTCTGGTAATTTAACATAGCTATTGAAAATGGCCATTTATAGTGGATTTTCCCATTAAAAATGGTGATTTTCAATAGCTATGTTAGTTTACCAGAGGGTACTACCATAAGCAACTCCAACTTTTTTTATAAATGAACAATGATAAACTCTGTTTGACCATGGCTTCTTCTCGTTTCGTGGCTGTGTTGGGAAACCCTGGGGTGTTTCAGTCATTTCGCAAACCTCACAGATCATCGCAAGATTTCGATTCATGAAGTTGTCTGAAGATTTGGGAGTCGAGCCACGAAAAGTCGCCCTATCCCATTGCACTGGTTGGTTAGTAGGTATGCCTATTAGAGGGTTAGCACCATCCCCCCAAAAAGTAGTATAACCCCCTAGGATAACCAGCCACGCTCCTTACTTCAGGGTGTTCCAGTTGCCAAGTGGGTATGTAGATGTATGTAGCCATAATTCAGAGCTAAAAAAAGATGGAAAAGTGGAAACCTGGAGGTATGAAGACAATATTATCTACTTTACATCCTGGAAACATCTGGAAACACTGTTCTATCTTTTGAGGGGTTACTATACCCCAGTAAATCGAGGGGAAATCACCATGGTTCCATGCACCTGGAAATCATCCCAGTGACGAACAGCCATATCTTGGGGGTTAAATCCCTCCATTTTCAGACGCCCGGAGATCATATTGGTGGTTACATATCCATTCTATTCCCATTATGGTCGGTCATAAATCCGCATCTTCGGGAAAAAAGTGTCCAAAAAAAAACAGTATTCACCATCATTTTCCCGTCAATATCACATGAATGTCTGAATTGTCCATCAATATTTACCATCATGTTCCCATCATTTTGCCATCAATATCATATGTTCCTATTATATGCACATGAATGTCCTTTCAGTAACCCGGGCCGTGCACTCGACTTCGTGATGTCGCGCCTTGGTGTGGAGCTGGTCCCAGTTGACGTTGCAACCTGCCTGGCGGGTTGCCTGTTCCCAGTGGATCTCTCAATAAACATGCTGGGATGGTTCTTTATTGGGTCTACCAGATTAGTTTATTACTAATAGTTTTTAATAATAGTACTATCAATATTCCAGATTAGTGCTTCTTTATTAGTAATAGTAAAGCTTAGTTTTTATCAATAGTGAAGCACCTTTTTTTTGTTGTGCAATTCTGGTGATAATGCTAGTAAAGCAATGATAAACTACCAATGTGTTCATGGCTTATACCACCCATAAGATTGGTAAAATTGGGGATGGTTTACTATTGCTTCAAAACATGTGATACACCTGTAGAAAGTCAGCGATTGATAGCCCTAATGGCTGACCAGTTCCTACCTTGGATGATCAATTGTGGCTAGTCTGAGATACCTTGAAGACATTCAAAAGATTTTGCCGTTCGTTTGATGTCGTTTACAGTAGGTTGCTCTCCACATACTGCGGTGTACTCAATATCCCCACAGGGACATCTGGAAACATGTCATCAAAGTGCAAAACTCGATGGAAGTAGCCCCACTCTTCTCAGGTCGACCCACAGAAGTTGCCCCCTGGGGCACCTCCCAAAGTTTTCCCAAAGCACCCAAGAAGGCCTCACGTCGGAATGTCGACGCCACCGTTTTCTGAGGCTCTTCTTCGTGGGATACTTGAGAACTGGGCATCACATACACTAGGTCATTAAAGTGAAGACGTATGAAAATGTGTGTGTATAATATTATATATATACAGAATATACATATAATTACAATTATCATTATATATATATATATATTATATACACATGTAATTATGTCTATGTAGAGATCCCAGAAAATCCCGTTGTGACTCAGAATTGACTCTGGTATCGGTTCTGGATGGTTGTGGAAAAAATCACTACAAACTGGTAGAATTAGTCACAACTGACTTTCAGGGGATAGTCAATTGTTGGATAAGATCCTGCAAAGCGAAGGTGATGAATCAGATTGAAAAACCCTGACTATCAAAAATTTTAAAAACCCCCAAAATACATAGAAAAGTTGGAAAGCTGGAAACTGTGGGGAAAACACAATCTATATAATTTTATAAGATCCTGCAAACAGTTGTCTATCTTTTTGGGGTTGATGTAGATGACCATGGCACGGATGAGATAGGTTGGTTCCTGAGCTGCGTTCAGCCTGTTGGACTTGATTGGTTCGTAACCATGAATCCTGACTCGTTTGAGATGCTCCCGGAAACAAAAAAAAGAAAACCATAGAAAACCTAACCTTCACCCAACTCGTGACGCAGGTGGCGTTTCTGATTGTGCCAAAGGAAATCGATAATCATCTAGATTCAACAAATCTACTGTAATCATGTACACACTGAGTCACTGGGGATTTCGATTGATTTACCGACCTAAAAACCGACCTTCTCAGACTCAAAAAAGACGACTGAGTCGGCTCGGCTGCCTCCACGTCGTGGGTCTTAGTCCTCAGCCATTGCTAGCGCCAAGAGATGGTATGGTGTATGGTCATTCATCTATGAGAATCCTGAACTTTATGGATGACCATCCACCATCATCCATCATCATCCATCCATATAGACCATATGGATATATCCAGGTTCTCACCATGGCACATAGTCGGGGAGAGGTCTTCAATTGCTTCCTGATTGAATGCAATTCATGTCATTTTCGCAGCGTTGATGATATTCCACCGGTGTAGCATAAATCACATGGCATGATATTCCTCCAACTCCACAAAAACTATGTATATAAACATACTGTTGGTTCTAAGAAACTTGACCATGGCATGGAGGTTTTCTAAGTTATGGGGGGTACCCCCACATCCAGCTTCTTGGCCGCCTAACGCCTTGGGATGACGCATGGATTGCAGGAAGTCCGGCTTCCAGCCTTCTGGCGATTTGACCTTGGCAAAAAATGGCAAAAGGGGTAGGTCAGCCATTAAGAATGCTGTTTAACCATGGCTTAACAAGCAAAAGCGGTGGCTTAATCATGAAAAAAGAATGCTTTTTATCCGCCAAAATTGGGATTCTTGGTTTGTCGCGGGATTAAGCCAAAGAAAAATCTCGAGACAAAACCATGGTTTTACCCTAAAAATCCCGAAAATCTGAGCGGCAACAGATTGAAGCACTGCCCGCAACTGCCCCTCCAAGGCCCCACCATTTGGTGGGATTTGACATCCGTTGATTCATCAAAAATGGCGGGTATGAGTTATATCATTTGTTATATATTAATGAAACATGGTAGATAGACACCAGGAAAAAAAACCTAACCAAGACACAATTGGATTGAAACTTTCCCAAGTAGAATACAATTGGGGTTCGAGTCACAAAAAAGGATACACCTTGAGATTTAAGCAGCAAAATTATGGAGATATCAACGAACACATTACTATTCTTTCGGGTCAAAGCAAAAAGTGGTGATCTGACCAACTTTTTTTTGAGCTAGTCCGAAAGCACTATTCAGAACTGCCAAACGAGTCTTCTGAATCACCAAGTTGATGAACCATGAGTAATTAGTGAAAGGTTGATGGTGAAATGTTGATGAATGTAATTTCTAATTGAAACATGAGTAATCAGTTGATGACATCCAGAAATATTAGTGAAAAGTTTTTCTGGATGTAATTTGTGAACCATGGCAAGAACAGCAACGACAGTTCCGGTCTAGGACCAGGAGACCTGACCTGGCAGCCTGGCAGGACAAGAACAAATGGGATGCCAAGGAGTTTTGGAGATCTCCCATGCCATGGCTAGCCTACAGTAAATCAACATATGGAAAAATTCAGCATGAATGTAGATCATTTCCTGGGTCCAAAACACAGTTTTCCATGGTTTCCCTCAGGTCCATCCCATGTCAGCACGTTTCATCGGCCCCCTCGGCCCCCGGACACACTTGGAGGTTAGAGTGCTGAGGACATTTCCAGGACCCACCTGTGCCGAGGGTTGAAAAAACCGAGCTTCAGCAGCGATCTGACTGAAGATGTTGGAGAAATAAGAGAGTTGTTTTATGGCCGTTGACCATGAGAAATTAAAGCCTACAAGTTGGGAGAATGGGCCCCTATAGTTATATATTGGATATATTATACATATGTATATATATATATATATCTATCTCTACTTACACCTGGAACTGCACTTCCAAGTAGCAATGTGGCAAACCCAATGCCATAAGCCATTCCCAAATGCTTGTATAGTAAAATAGTGTGGGGATTGTAGGTAAACGATTAACCCCCGACCCAGCTCCCCAAAAGGAGAGTTGGAGACTTACTAAGAACCATTGGGTGTCCACAATGATAAAGTTGAATACTGTATAATATGTATTGACATCAATAGAAATGTATTTATATACAGTATGTATTTATATGTATTGACATCAATATAATATGTTGAACCATTGGGGAACTGCATATGTATTGACATCAATAGAAATGAGTTCCCCAAAAGGAAAAAAATAGTTGAACACTCAAAATGCCCCTAAACTGTTCGACTTGGAGCTTGATTTTGCAACCCCTACGTAGCCCTATCCATCTAACTGAGGTTTACCTCCATACAGTAAACCCAACAACAAGACCATATCTAATCGAAGCTAATCTTACCATATCTGTCCAGTTGCCGGCGATTGTTTGTGGGTCGCTGATGAGCATCGCAAAACTGAAGAATTCATGTTGGGATGCTGACCACAATCTACCTGAATCTAGCATAATATGTGGTTTTGATCCACACCCATTTTCGATACCGTTCGCAATGTCCACTTTTTGGCTGGGTACCTTTTACGGCAAGCAAGATTAATAGGCCATGAACACCTGCCTTCCATTTGCCAGGGTTCCCCCCACCAAAAAAAAAATGATCCCACAAAAAAAAAGAATGATCCCTATACAGATTCCCCAGCCATGGTTGATTTTGCATTGGGAAAAACAAGAATAAACCAACGGCGCAAACCCAGGCTACCCTCAGGTGATTTAAATATAGCTCTAGCAGCTATGGAACATCATCGTGTTATTGCAAAATCATCTGCTTCAATGGTGCTCTAGAAATGATGAAAAACTACCCTCCATTTTTAGTGGGTAAATCAACTATTTCGACTGGGCCATTTTCAATAGCAAACTGTTTGTTTACCAGAGGGTAAGCCATCTATACCATACTTATGTGAAACTACTGGAGGATTCCCAACTCGCCGCTTCACCAGGCCTCCAGAATGATGTTGGGCCTCCATTGTGAAATGAGCCGCTCGGCATTCTCGCGCCAGAGCACCTGGGGCGACAAGGCTCGCCACAAGCGACAGCCATGGTCTCCTATGAAATCATCAGTTACCTATGCCACAAGGTGGTGCCCCCCCCAGTTATAAACGGGTTATAATCCCATTAACTATAGATATACTATAGATATATCACCCATAAACCATAGTGACATTGGACTTATAAACGCACCAACTGAACGCGATTCCGAACTGGGGCACTGGGCACCACCCTGCATGGAGATCCCCCGATTTGAATCGATCAACCAGTGGGAATTTTGGGATATCTTGGAAGCCATGGCCCCTTTTCAAAATGGTTTAATCTTCTAGAACTTGAATCACCAGAAGGTCATTTGTTGATGGAGTCTTGGACTGTAGCTGGTTGATCCAACCAAAGTTTCTTCTATATATCTACAAAAAAAAAGGAAAATTAAGCAGCTGACATTGACATGGGAATGTTCAACAACACAAAATCGGCCAAGACTGGGTGCACAGGTGATGTGACCATCACTCCCAGCATAAGTTCTGGAGCAACTTGGGAGCATCGTCCGCAAGGGATCATATCTCTTTTTTGTAGTCTTCACCAAGCCATGTGGCGGAAATTGCACCAATTTCCATCCGAACAACCCCTCGTAGGGTCGTGACGCCTAACAATTTCCAGCAACACGCCCAAGCCCAGGAATTTACATCCGTGTGGAGCCTGCCAGTACCGAGAGAGAAACACCATGAAACACCCACAGCAGATTGGTTGTACTCAAAGCTCATTCCATAAAAATCGGCGGGTAACATTGGTGCACTGAAAATCGAGGTCCCCAGCAGTGCCCCTCATGTGCTTGGTCCAGTATTGCCCATCCTGGCGCTGCTAAAGGCTGCCCAGTTCTGCCAGGGACCTTTGGAACCGTTGGGACCGATGCGCCACCAACATGGCCACAAGAATTGGAATTCACGTAAAGCAATAGGCTCCACCATCCCCAATTTTACCAATTAAATGATATTAAATGGGTGGTATAAACTATCAAAAGATTGGTGGTTTATATGATTGCTTTACTAACATTATCACCAGACTCTGGGGGTTTGTGATCCACCTCAGCCTCTGTGTGTTTGATACCTGAAATGAGGTCTTAATTCCGATTTCGGGGTACCAAATTTCCATGTTGGTTGCTGAAAAATCTCCGTCACGGCCATCAAATCACGAGTAAATAATGGATTTTCCGTTTGGGAAAGCCATGGCTTTTCCACAGCTTTTCATATCTTTACCACTTCACCAGGCACCCGGAGGTCGCCTTCATCTGGGCTGCACCCAGCCACTGCCCAGTCAAATTTGAGGCCTTTCGGAACCCACAGCTGCCGGTTGGATCTCCCAAAAGCAGTGGCTGCAAGGCACCAGTGGTTGATGATTTGTTTGGGGATGATACCAACCAATATATTGATGTCAGAAGGGACTTCAGCATGGAAACAAGTCAAATAAGAAGAGTGTAATTACATAAACCAACTATTAAAATAATATAGACTAGTCGAACTACAAATTCCGGACCCAAGAAAAAATGCCAAGTTGCCCTGCTGCAGAAACACCAGGCCTTTTCAAACAATCTCAGAAAAACATGTGATCCTGTGCCGCCCTGAATGTTGACACGTTGAGATTCGTTAACCCGCACTCGCATAGGTTTGCCCAAGAATGGTTTATGTTTATGTACCCCCCATGCCATGGCATATCCTATTTTTCTTCATTGAAATTGCCATAGCATACTACCATTTTCACAATGTGAACAAAGAAATCTAGACCCAACCCAGAATTTCAATGGTGAAGAGTGTCTAGCTATCTCGAAACATGCAGTTTCTACAGTAATATTACGCTTGCGCACTCATGTAAATACATGACATATATGTGTATGTATATATATATATACGTGTATATATACATATATATAGACGTAAATATATAGCTATATTATATGTATATGTGTATGTCATATAGAATTCACATACCTTGTCCAACTAAAATGATACAAAATCATCAGTTAATCACCATGAAGTCGCCCGATGCTGTGCTGGGAAGCCCCAACGACGGGGATGACCTCCACTCCCTGCCTTGCGACGGTGCTGCCGAGGTTTGTTGGTACCCCCATTTACTGGTTCAATGTACTTACAATGAGACATGGATGGATGGATGGATGGATGGATGGATGGATGGATGGATGGATGGAGATAAGATAAGATAAGATAAGATACACTGCAGAAAAATCAGTTGGGAGGAGTATGTTTCATCTTCCCACTGTGTCTGACAATATCGCTAAATCCATGGCTGAATCGAACGCGCCTAATCAATTCTAATCTTCTGATCTTATACATATAGACATACAATATAAACATATGTATAATTTATTGTATATATATATATATATGTATTAGATATATTATATTATATATATATTATATATATATACAAATGGGTTTGTCTATAGGGGGTCCCCTAATGGTTTATCACCGATTTTCCTTGTTAAAATGCTCATCTTTGGGGTATAGAAACATGTTCGGCCGCAGGTCGCTGGGGGTGCAACGTCCATACATGAGGCCCCCGAACGATAAGTTGACGCTTAAACAACTTGGTTAACTAGGGTTCATGGGGAATATATCATATGTCATCATATATCTATATGGGGGGTTCCCAAAATGGGGTTACCCAAAAATGGATGGTTTATCATAGAATATCCTATGTATTAAAAAGGATGATTTGGGGGTACCTCCATTTTAGGAAACCCCCATATACAGAATAAACCTGATGGGGTTTAGAACCAACTTATGGGTGGGGCTCACCTTGTACCATGTATTGCCACAACATTCTACCTGGGCAGATGATAATGATTACCCTCTGGTTATTTAACATAGCCATGGTATAAATGGCCCATTTGTAGATGGTTTACCTATCAAAAATGGTGATTTTCCATGGCTATGTTGAATAACCAGATGGTACATTAACTCATAGAAACAGGGTGTAAGTCAGGGGATAATTCCCCAATCCATCTATCGTGACGTCGGCCAGTCATCCGCAGGCAAGTGTCCAGCGACTATATCCAAAAATCGGGCATGCTTCATAGCAACCCCTAAAATACCCTCGGACAATTCAACATTTCATGGTTGCAAATCACCATTTGTTGAAATTCGGTAAACCATTAAATGAAGCATTACCATAGCTATGTAAGAAATTACCAGAGGCTACCCTCTGGTAATTTAACATAGCTATTGAAAATGGCCATTTATAGTGAGTTTTCCCATAAAAAATTGTCATTTTCCATAGCTATGTTAGTTAGTTTACCAGAGGCTAAATGATCAAAACACCAATCACCAATCATCTTCTACCCATCCCCTCACTGCCCAAGTGGCAATTCTTCAGCCACACCGAGGTTCTTCAGGGTGTCAGCCGCCTGTCCAAACAGTTCGCGTCGCGCAGATATGCGGGGGACCCCCAGTCGTCACCATAGGTGTCAATACTAAGTCATGGTCATCCATGACTTGGATGATTTGGGGCTACCCCCATAACTTCGGAAACCACCATATGGAGGTTTCCGAAGTTATGGGGGTACCCCTAAATCATCCATTCTAATAGGATTTCCACTATAAACCATCCATTTGCGGGGCCAGTAACATCCGGAGATCTTGGCTGACAAATCCTCTACAAGTGGCTGATGTTACACTGCCAAGACAGGACTGCCAGAGCCGGAGAACCAGATCGTTATGTGATGTCACCCAAATAATGGGTATATATGGCACGGATACTTTAGGGCTGATGAATCACTTGTCAGAAGCTTACCAAGTTGGGGAGATGATACCTCAATCAAAACCGCAAAAACCGCAGCCAGAAGCGATGAAAAAGTGGAAGTTGAACGGAATGGAACCCATCTTTGACTGGTAGCAACTCAGTTTAACTTCATCGGGGATCATCATCCCATTGGCGGAAAAAAAATGCACACCACTGGCGGTTGATATCCCTGTTTTTGTGGCTGAAAACCATGGTGAAAAAAACATGAAGGATCGCGAAAAGTTGGCACAGAAAAACAAACTCCAATTTCACCTTTGGGTTTATGGTAGATATCTCATGATATCTCTATAGATAACCTCTGGTAATTCAAAATGGCCCATTTGAAGTTGATTTACTGTTGACTATTAAAAGTGGTGATTTTCCGCTATGTGAAATAACCAGAGGGTAGTTAGTTGGACGGAGTTTTATAACTCAACTATACTCAACTTGGAACTGGGATTTTCTCAACGCGCTCTCCGCCTTGGCAATGAGTCCCGAATGGAAGGCTCTCTTCACATGGAGCCGGCTGCACTTCTTCCTGTCGTGTCGCAGACCCGGGAGAAATGATGCTTGAAGCATGTTGGATATCATGCAACCAACAAACATACCATCTGGTTATTTAACATAGCCATGGAAAATCACCATTTCTAATACGTAAACCATCTATAAATGGGCAATTTTCCATGGCTATGTTAAATAACCAGAGGGTATATAGAAAGATGAGAAGAGTGATGAATATAGACCATTAATGATGATTGTTGAATGATAATAGTTCTTGTATGTTCTTTTGATAGACCCCCGGTAGGCTGATTTGAGAGATAAAAAGGCTATTGTTGATGGATTCCCCCGATATGAACCGTCGATGGGGCTTGGTTGTTCGAGGCTCTGTCCATGATCCAGTAAAGCAATAAGGCTGCAAGTGGTTCAGGCAGCAGATTCAAGGGGACATCTCAAACATCTCATGATGGGAACACAACAAGCCAAGCTTCATGCTCAGTCGCTTTCATCAGTTCAGGTCTCTTTTTTTTTAGGGGGATGCATCAAACTCACCCTTGCATCCTAGTAAACATTCCCAAAAACGATTAGCCGAAGAGAATGTGTCCACAAAAGGTCACGAGCAACATTCCAGCCTACCTGCGCACGTCGCACCTTTTTGCGTCAATGCCAAGGGATTTCCAAGATCAGAGAGCCGCCCGGTGGAATGTCGGTGTAACCTTGGAATAGCAGGCGACAAGTGGTATCTGGGGCAAGAATCTCAGAGGAAACGATTTCTGCTTGTTATGTAGATTATGATTGTCATAGATACTTATGTAGATATTTATGTAGATTATTTTAGATACTTATATAAATATAAATGTAGATTCTGGATATTTATATAGATATTTATATAGATATTTATATAGATATTTATATAGATATTTATATAGATATTTATATAGCTATTTATATAGCTATTTATGTAGATTATTATAGATATTTATATAGATATAAATGTAGATTATTCTGGATATTTATATAGATATTTATATAGATATTTATGTAGATTATTATAGATATTTATATAGATATTCATATAGATTATTATAGATATCTATATACATATTTATATAGATTACTATAGATATTTATGTAGATATTTATATAGATTACTATAGATATTCATATATATTATCATTAAAGATATTATTTTAGATTTTATTATAGATATTATATTCATATAGATATTGACTTCCTTTTCCTCTTGGAGTTCTAAAAAAGCAAGAAGTTTGCCTACTGTTTACCCAAACATGAGTCCAGAGGGCTCAGATGCGCCAGCAGATCAACTGCATGGGCACTTAGGTGTTTTTCGAAGCAACTTGCTGGGGATACCCGCCTATAATTGGTTCCTAGTTCATACATGCGGATGTCCTAAAGTAGGTGGTACCCTTAAATCCTTCATGTTCATCGGATTTTCCAGTATAAAACCATCCAGCTCTTGGGATACCCCCATTGATGGAAACCCCCACATGGGGATTTCCCTATGAAATATCCAAAAATAACTTTGCCAAGCGGGATCACTATCAGTCTATCAGTCATCAACGTGTGCATCCTGGCTCTTCGAATTGCACATGTTCAAACACGGCCCCTAGATTACCTGGCAATGTTCAAAAGGCAAAAGTTGAGGGACCTATACCCTCCGATCAAGTACATTTGGTGCATCGCAAATGGAACCGGAAACGCCTCCGGAAAAGTTCAACTTCCAAACATCAACTCACAGATCATCAGATCCCAGTGACACTGGCCCCAGGGCGCATGCACATCGGCATAGCACTCTCCACCATAGGGAAAACCCCCTTGAAAGAGAATGCGGCACAGCAGGGAACCATCCGCTTGCATCTCCTCAAGGCATCGGTCGGGAAAATCTGAAGGACATGTGGTTGTTTATCATACTGCCAATGGGATCCCTAGATAACTAAGTTGGTTTATAGCTAGGCTATGTTTTGGAAAAAAAACATAGATGGGATTTAGAAAAACTAGATCCGTGCAACGTCTGTTCATCCAAACAAAAACCCTCTAAGAACCAGAACACAAAACGGCCGCTCTGGAACCCAAAGCAGTTTGGGAAAAACAACTTGGGCGTGCGACTCGGAGACAACAATCCCAGGTAGTACCCTGCAGTAAATCGTAAGTTGAATATTGGGAACCCAGCTGAAATCTAGAATAACTTTTGTGGTACGAAAGTGGGGTCTACCACTTTTTTGGTACGAATGGCGATCCAGGCTAGATTTTTTCCTTGAGAAAGCGTTGGTTTTCCATATCTATCTTAATTCACTGGAGGGTAAGTGGGACAAACCTAAAACATGTGATGAAACGTAACGTTAGGCACATTCATATTGCAACGATCATTAAAGTGTCCCATCATAAATACATATATATATATATATATACATATACATATATACATATATACATATATACATATATACATATATACATATATACATATAGTTACATATAGTTACATATAGTTACATATAGTTACATATAGCTACATATAGTTACATAGAGTTACATAGAGTTACATAGAGTTACATAGAGTTACATAGAGTTACATAGAGTTACATAGAGTTACATAGAGTTACATAGAGTTACATAGAGTTACATAGAGTTACATAGAGTTACATAGAGTTACATAGAGTTACATACACAGCATAGTCTTCCAAGCCCATAACTTTTGCGGTGATAGTCAAACGGCTAAAAGCGCCAGGTCTCATGCGAGATCTGCGCTTCAATCTCTGCCCCTGCACGAACCTCGTGCGTGCCACCCGTTTTTCGGTGGACAACTGCGATGTGCGCTTTTTCCACCTGTAGCATGGAAGGCAACACACCACCTCCCTTTTGGAAAAGGAATTGATTTTGATGGTTGATGTGGAATCATGTGAGTTGACATGGATTCAAAAATTTGTGTGGATATATATATATATATATATGTATACACATTTGATACACCTATATCTATATCTATGTGTATATATATATATATACATGCAGTTTATATACCTATACGTACGTATACAAATAAATATATATATATATATATTGTATCATATATATATATATTGTATCATATATATATATATTGTATCATATATATGTATATATATATATAAACGCATACAGTGTGTATATATATGTATATGATATATGTGTGTATATACATGTGTTTGATTATGTATGCGTGTGTGTGTCTGATATACTACATATCGCTATGATCCTTGGATATCGTCCCTACCAATTGATGGGTTGTCCCGCTAAAGTCCCATGACTTCCGGATTTTTAACATCACCAAAACGCTTATTGGTAGGGTTTCCCCTACGGGCCCAGGGTGATCTGTTGCTTAAAACACCTCGGGCACCTCACCTCCACCGTTCGAATGGTCGCAGAGATCTCGGAGGATCGGCAGAAATGGATTCCTCGACGACATGGATTGATTTCGTGGAATTGCTGGCTCGAACATGACAAAGATGGGAATATTACCGACAAGAGCAGAAGTATGAGCACCAAAATTGGGGAGTTGAACAGCGTCCCTATAAGGAATGTCCCTCTTCATAGACAAGACAAAGTTTGTTGGTGTGTTGGCAGACGCATGTGTGTGTGTGTGTGTGGGCGTGTGGGTGTGTGGGTGTGGGTGGGTGAGTGCGTGCGTGCGTGCGTGCGTGCGTGCGTGGGTGTGTGTGTGTGTAAATACATTAATGTGTGTGTGTGTTTGTGTAAATACATTAATGTGTGTGTTTGTGATTTATTCATTGTGTTTATCTGTGTGGGTGTTTCTTCATTTATTTACTAATTCACGTGTTTAGTCGTTTATGTGCCGTACATTGTTTATATATATATATATACTATGCATATGTGTGTATGTGTGTATGTATGTGTATGTATGTGTATGTATGTGTATGTATGTGTATGTATGTGTATGTATGTGATGTGTATGTATGTGTATGTATGTGTATGTATGTGTATGTATGTGTATGTATGTGTATGTATGTGTATGTATGTGTACGTATGTGTATGTGTGTGTATGTATGTGTATGTATGTGTATAGACGTAGTCCTACCCTCAAGTGGTTACCCTTTGACAATCTAAGTTTGCCCGTGAAAAATCTTCGCGTCAACATCCATGAGTGTACATGTGTACTGTACATACAGATAGGTGTATATATATATATAGTATATATATTGTATATTGAGTCTTTATCCGAAGGCGGATTTGAAGTCACTTGTGGCAGTTTTGCAATCTTCTCAATAATGTTTATGAGGCTGGGTCCTTTCAGTTCCCTAATCATAATCCAGATAATCACATTATGCAATTACACTATGGTATCCATCATATCTGTACAATCTATAACAATCTCGCCAAAAACAAGATAAAAAAAAAGTAAACTCCTGCTAAAAATCGTGATCCAGTGCTTTTCAGCATCTTTCTTTGGTGGGGATGTTACCCAAAAAAGCACCATACAGTACATCCCTCATCCCTCATCCCTCATCCCTCATCCCTCATCCCTCATCCCTCATCCCTCATCATCCCCCATCCCCTATTCATTGCCAATCTTAGATACCCTGCCAAAAAAAATGACTTTCTTAGCTGGTAATTTTTGGATATTCCTTTTGAAACCGCCAAAGATTCAAGGATGATTTCCCTAGCCATGCGGTCAGTTGACCTACAGTAGTCATCCCCCATCCCTCATCCTCCCCCATCTGGGTAAATTACAGGCTTCGGTCGCGACGTGAGGACTATTCTTCATAGATATTCATGGATACTTATATTATACATATATATATGGTGCAGCGTTGGCCAGCCCCCCTCCCCACCAATGGGTATGGGTGGACAGTATCGTCTGGTTCTTCCTGTGGTGGTGGTATGGTTCTTCTGGTCCCCCCCCCCCTGTGGCCTGTGGTGGTGGTATGGTTCTTCTGGTCCCCCCCCGCTGTGGCCTGTGGTGGTGGTATGTTGGTATGTTGGTATGTTGGTATGTTGGTATGTTGGTATGTAGGTATGTAGGTATGTAGGTATGTTGGTATGTAGGTATGTAGGTATGTAGGTATGTAGGTATGTAGGTATGTAGGTATGTAGGTAGGTATGTATGGATGGATGGATGGATGTATGGATGTATGGATGTATGGATGTATGGATGTATGGGTGTATGGATGTATGCATGCATGCATGCATGTATGTATGCATGTACGTATGTACGTGTGTACGAAGGTACGTAGGTACGTGTGTACGTAGGTACGTAGGTACGTAGGTATGTAGGTTTGTAGGTATGTAGGTATGTCGGTAGGTAGGTATGTATGTCTGTGTGTGTATGTATGTATGTATGTATGTAATGTAATGTAATGTAATGTAATGTAATGTAATGTAATGTAATGTAATGTATGTATGTATGTCTGTGTGTGCATGTATGTATGTATGTATGTATGTATGTATGTATGTATGTATGTATGTATGTATGTATGTATGTATGTATGTATGTATGTCCTGTGGTGGTGGTATGGTTCTTCTGGTCCCCCCCCCCCTGTGGCCTGTGGTGGTGGTATGGTTCTTCTGGTCCCCCCCCGCTGTGGCCTGTGGTGGTGGTATGTTGGTATGTTGGTATGTTGGTATGTTGGTATGTTGGTATGTAGGTATGTAGGTATGTTGGTATGTTGGTATGTAGGTATGTAGGTATGTAGGTATGTAGGTATGTAGGTATGTAGGTATGTAGGTATGTAGGTAGGTATGTATGGATGGATGGATGGATGGATGTATGGATGTATGGATGTATGGATGTATGGATGTATGGGTGTATGGATGTATGCATGCATGCATGCATGCATGCATGTATGTATGCATGTACGTATGTACGTGTGTACGAAGGTACGTAGGTACGTGTGTACGTAGGTACGTAGGTACGTAGGTATGTAGGTATGTAGGTATGTAGGTATGTAGGTAGGTAGGTAGGTAGGTATGTATGTCTGTGTGTGTATGTATGTATGTAATGTAATGTAATGTAATCTAATCTAATGTAATGTAATGTAATGTATGTATGTATGTATGTCTGTGTGTGTATGTATGTATGTATGTATGTATGTAATGTAATGTAATGTAATGTAATGTAATGTAATGTAATGTAATGTAATGTATGTATGTAATGTATGTATGTATGTATGTAATGTAATGTAATGTAATGTAATGTAATGTAATGTAATGTAATGTAATGTAATGTAATGTAATGTAAGTATTGTAATGTATTGTAATGTAATGTAATGTATTGTAATGTATTGTAATGTAATGCAATGTAATGTAATGTAAGTATTGTAATGTATTGTAATGTATTGTAATGTATTGTAATGTATTGTAATGTATTGTAATGTATTGTAATGTATTGTAATGTATTGTAATGTATTGTAATGTATTGTAATGTATTGTAATGTAATGTAATGTATTGTAATGTATTGTAATGTATTGTAATGTATTGTAATGTATTGTAATGTATTGTAATGTATTGTAATGTATTGTAATGTATTGTAATGTATTGTAATGTATTGTAATGTATTGTAATGTATTGTAATGTATTGTAATGGATTGTAATGGATTGTAATGTATCGTAATGTATTGTAATGTATTGTAATGTATTGTAATGTATTGTAATGTATTGTAATGTATTGTAATGTATTGTAATGTATTGTAATGTATTGTAATGTATTGTAATGTATTGTATTGTAATGTCATGTAATGTCATGTAATGTCATGTAATGTCATGTAATGTCATGTAATGTCATGTAATGTCATGTAATGTCATGTAATGTATGTATGTATGTAGGTACGTGTGTACGCGTGTACGCGTGTACGTGTGTACGTGTGTACGTGTGTACGTGTGTACGTGTGTACGTAGGTACGTAGGTAGGTAGGTAGGTAGGTAGGTAGGTAGGTAGGTAGGTAGGTAGGTAGGTAGGTATGTATGTCTGTGTGTATGCATGTATGTATGTATGTATGTATGTATGTATGTAGGTAGGTAGGTAGGTAGGTATGTCTGTGTGTGTGTGTATGTGTGTATGTATGTATGTATGTAGGTAGGTAGGTAGGTATGTAGGTATGTATGTATGTATATATGTATATACACCACCACAGGGGCATCATACCCCCCCCCCCATCTCATGGGGGGGGCGGAGGGGGGGGTGGGAACACGGGACACGGGACCATATATATATATATATATATTAACCACTCTTAAACCAGATATACTATCCATATCACATATTCTTAGTGATATTCTCCCCTATTCCCATATCTTACAAAATGAACCCATGAACATCCACCAGCCCATCATCTCCAAGGCACGGTAGTCCGAGGCGCACTTCACACACTGCCGCGTGACCGCGTTTCCTGGGCCGTGGTCTTTGGTGCAGATCAGCGCGGCGGCCTCGTGAGGTTCCAACCTCTGGGCCAGATTTTTCAGCGGCAGAAAGAAGGGCATGGAAGCAACAGAAATTGGGATTTCAACTATATAACTTATATAATGTCAACATTTTGCTAAACCATGGTTTTTGAAAATTAGGGGGGTACTCCTCCAATAGTCATAATCTTATACTTAAATGGTACCCTCCCAATTAAACAGCCTGGAGGTTTATTAATCCAGGGTTGACATTAACTATCAAAAAATGGTGATTTCACCAGCTAAAAATAGGGATGTCGCATGATTCAAAGATGAAAAAAACCATGGGTGATTTCACCAGCCAAAACATGGATATGTTGGCATCAAACATAGAGATTTCAACACGTAATTGGGGAAAATGATGATCATCTGTTGGAAGTGGGGGGTTAACGATGGTTAACCCATTTTTGGACAAACCCAGCTGAGAACTGACCTTGTGCTTTGGGTAGTCCGATCCCATACAGAAGGTCGCAGATGCTTTGAGATAGACAACGTTTGCATAAGGTTCATTTCACTCATACCATGGATGGTGTTGAATCAATCCTTACTTTCTGTAGTTGTGGGGCCAGGCTCACTTGGCATTGCAAAGGTTTAAGCAGGAAATTGCTTTTGCCATGTGGGACTTCTGGCATGCCGCTAAACTGGCGGCGTTGGCTTGCAGTTCTTTTGTCAAAAAAATGGATAGACAAAGCCAGGAAACTCGTGTGTCCAGAATTCTATCTTATCGTACCCCAAAAAAAAGAAAAGTGTTTCCAGGATGGTATAGATGATGATGGTTTTTCATGGTTTTTCCATATTTCCAGCTTTCATCAGGTTTCCAAGTCTTTGGGGGTACAGTTTCTTGAAGGGGCTACAGTATCTCCCAAAAGGCGATGTGAAATTCCAATGGTCGTAGTACTGCCACTGCTACTCGCTTATGCTATAACTATGTTCATATGGGGATGGGTCAAAACCCTGGTACCCCTGGTAAACCCCAAAATAGCTGGGATTTATGGATGTGAATAACCCACTAAAAATGTATCTATAGGTATTGACCCATACCCATATCATCAATGTTGACACAACACTTCCTACCACAATGCTTTCTCTTCTTCCTTTTTGTGCTTTCGCTCACTCCCCTTTCGTTGCGCAAACGTCCCGCTGTGTCTCTGCATTCTGTTCGTTGTGAATTATACCCGAACTCAGCTTGAAGAAGCTGGCCGGTCTCCCAATTCATGCTCTAGATTCCATTTTTCTAATTTATCAAGAACCTTAATAATCCCTTCCCAATATTAAAAAACACCTCTATACAAACCATGCTTTAGTAGGGGATTTACCATGATTTACACTTCTTTATCTAAAAAAAAACAAGATTTACAATCATTTACAATAGATTCAATAGACATCAATAGACCTAATGATAAAAACACTTCAGTAGGGATTTACTCAGTAGATCATAGAATGGGGCTGCTTCAAAAATTGGGAAGGAATTCACAGCACGGATCACCTGGGAGCGTTCTCTTCCGTCCAATGAAGGTCGCCTTCCACGCAGCGCACCGAGGGCGCTTCCTCCAAAAGCAGGCCGTTGGGAAGTCCCAAGCTCCGGTGATCAATGGAGGTGTTGAAGGGGGAAAACCATGGGAAAATCAAGGGAAAACCCACCGCAAATGGAGGTTTTCATGGGAAAATCATGGAAAATATGGAGAAAATGTTGGAAAAAAACACTATAACTGGAGATTTTAATGGGAAGAATCCTCTATGAATGGGGGATCTTCCATTGCCACGCGTGATTACCGGAGGGTACATAGGCATTGAAATGGGAAGTAGACTACACATGGGGGATGTTCCTCAATGTTTGAGATTTGGAGTCCTACGATGTGGGGCTGGTTGATACCACACATTTAGGGGTTTACCACAGCAATATACACCCATCTTAGTATCATCCCTGAGGCAAATTGAATAGGACCCATTTTTGTTAGTATCATTACTATCCCATTAATTCTTATTGTTATATAACAATGTCCCCGCGACATCCGCATATACAGTAATTCATCTGAGCAAAGATGGTGTGTTTCATGGAAAATCCCAAAACACAAAGGATGAAAACTGGGGGTACCCCCATTTTAGGAAACCTCCAAATGGCTTCGAACTATGGTTTTCTGCACCACTTCCAGTGGAATGATCTTCCCTCCGTCGCCTGACGTATGAAAGTCACCTCATCCCCCTCCGCAAGCTGCGAAGTGCTGTCCAGAACTTCGCCGTTGCGCAAGAAGCGCAGGCTGCAGACCGTTCCGTGGGGGAAACGCTCCTGGACACGTCCTGGCGAAAGGTGAAAAACCGTGGATCAAACTTGGGAGAATTGGGAGGCTTAAACGATGGAAATGGGGATAAATATGGATAAATGGCTGCTTTCACTGATCAAAATTTTGAAGTGTCACCCAGAGATTTTTCGTGACAGATTCAAGGACCTTCACAGGAAAACCATGGCTGCGGTGGCTGGAGCTGATTTCTTCCTGGCTTTGAGGGTCGGCCACGGCTCTCCTGTGAGTTCCCAGATGCGGCCAGTCTCAATCTCCACCACTTCGCTCTCGCCCGCCACCATCAGCAGGTTGATTCGCATCGCGTGGCAGTGGTCGGCCCAAAGTTGGCAATGGAAAACCATTCATATCCATTCATATATGGTGGGATGGCTTGGGGCTCCAAGTTTTTTTCTGGTTTCCATTGAAAAAATAAACCCAAAGAATATCCCCAACAGCAAGAAAGCAGCGGCCGTAGATCCCAAACAGTAATTCCATATAAGCGTGGTAGTTTTTGTTTCATGACCAAGCAATGCAGTGCATTTTTGCGCCGTCCTGCCCGCCGGCCTCCCCTACTACTACTACTACCACAACAACAACAACTACTACTACTACTATTATTACTACTACTACTGCTACTACTACTACTACTACTACTAGTACTACTACTAGTACTACTACTAGTACTACTAGTACTAGTACTACTACTAGTACTACTACTAGTAGTAGTAGTACTACTAGTACTACGAGTACTACTAGTACTACTAGTACTACTAGTACTACTAGTACTACTAGTACTACTAGTACTACTAGTACTACTAGTACTACTACTACTACTAGTACTACTACTACTACTAGTACTACTACTACTACTACGACGACGACTACTACGACGACTACGACGACTACGACGACTACGACGACTACGACGACGACGACGACTACTACTACTACTACTCCTACTACTACTCCTACTACTCCTACTACTACTTCAACTACTACTACTACTACTACTACTCCTGCTGCTGCTGCTACTACTACTACTACTCTTCTACTACTACTACTACTACTACTACTACTACTACTACTACTACTACCACTACTACTACTACTACTACTACTACTACTTACTACCTACTACCTACTACCTACTACCTACTACCTACTACCTACTACCTACTACCTACTACCTACTACCTACTACCTACCTACTACCTACTACCTACTACCTACTACCTACTACCTACTACCTACTACCTACTACCTACTACCTACTACCTACTACCTACTACCTACTCCCTACTAACCT